GGGGCAACATAGAATGAACAAATAAGTGCAATAATGGGAGTAATAATTAGCAAGATTTTCATAATAATATCTCATATTTAATAGGAATATTGATACATAATTTTTTCTCTATTCATTTGTTGTGTCTCCCAAAATGTGTAATAAACATGCTTTAAGTCCTGGTGTCCTCTACAGTGGACATGTATGAAATCGACGTCCTGTTTCATAACAGAAGGTCATATTTTGATTTGAAACCCCATAACATTTTCCTGAGATGTTGATTTATGACAGACAGTTTGAAAATTAGTAAGATTTAAATGATAATTACAAAATATTATCATATTTCCATAAGGGTGTTACACTTGATCACTAAATTAATGTCAGCCATTTTTAAAGACCAAGCAGAGGGAGTGGTCATGGTGAAACATCCAATCATTTGGTATCTCTGGAAAGGCCTGAATGTGCTCTGTACAGGACATCCAGACTGTGACATGTAAGAGAAATCACTAAAACATAACGTCCTCTACAGTGGACAAAACTCCATCGCTGGTAGTCAGGAGGATATATATGCTATGAAATCAAATATAATTTTTCACCATATATGGAAAGCTTACCTACCCATTTAATAGGTTTCTCTGATAAAAGAGGATTTAATGTTAAAAAAAAACCATGATAAAAAAAAAAATCATTTGTTTGTTTTGGTTTTTTTTCCTCAGTGAAAGTATTGTCTCACTCATCCTGTGAATCGGTTGTATTTCATTTGGTGTGATTTCAAGCTAAACTCATTGTCAACTGCACAGCTGTCATTTTTAGGATCAATGTGGTAGCCATCTGTCAATCAGCTGTCAAAACAGAAACGTCTCATATTTTTCCTGGCATCTTTGGTTCGAATTTTGGCACAGTATTGTAACATTTATCAGTTCCCAAAATCATCTCAGTTCATCTCTATCTGTCTGAGAAAAAAAGAAGGAAAAAAATATATAATCAAGCATGCATGGCACCTTCGCCAGGCTGCTAGCTGTTGCTGGCCTACTTCCTAAAAATAGCATCTAATACCAAGGCAGATTAGAAGACTTTTGCTGTACTGCTCTCTCTCTCTCTCTTTCTTTTTCTCTCACCCATTCTGACTTTCTCTCTTTGTCTCCCCTTCTGTCTGATATCTCTCTCTCTCCTCACACCTTCCTTTATTAGTGGGCACACTGAAAGTGTTGTTTAGATATTTATATCAACTGTGACATATAAGTATATTAAACAAATTCTGCAGAGTATTCACATATGTATTTATGTGTGAATTGAAATCTCTGTGCATTCTGATGATAGACAAAAATGCATGCACATTAATTAAATAATGTGGAAAATACTGTTTAAAGACCATTTCAAGGTATTACTCTATTTTAACACATTATTTACAGTTTGACTCATGCTGCTTTCACACAAATAATTAAACCTCTTACTTACAGCATTTTATGCTCATTAATGCTTATTAAAATCTATCTTTCTGTCACTCCGCAGGACTGAAGAAATGAACATGGAAGTAGTGTCACGGAAATGTTAATAGTAGAAGGTAAAACTCTCCCTCTTCCTAGTCTCTGCCTCAGACAGCACATCCATGGACCACCCACTGTCCATTCACTGACCTTCTGTTGCATATTGCACATAAAACTGGACATTTTATGCACTTTCGTGATATAATAAGCTTTTATCTGATTGGCTGACTTTATGCAACTTTCAAAAACAGAGCAACAGTGGGTTCCGGAAGTAAAAATCCCATTCATTTTTTTCATAGGGGAATTTTGTTGGAACCATCAACCCACATTATTTTTTAAATAAACATGCTTAACAGTGGAATTCCTGGTGAAAACTACATTATCCACGATTCTGCAAAAAAATGTCCACCAAACAGAGAACCACAGCGAGCAAATTGCAGCAAAAGAACTCGCCCAGTTCCATGAAGCACTGTGAATAACTTAAGTCAGTATTTTTTATTTTAATTTTATTTCTCCATGATCTTTAATTTGATTGTCACTTGCATTGTTTTTTGGGATTGTAGTTCTTTCCTTACACAGTCTTGTACTTTTCTCTTTTTGTATGATTTTCAAACACATTTTTGCTTCAAATCAAAATAATGTTTTTATTCTCCAAGTAGAAGATTGGTTTGGTCCTGACGTGTAATTCTTTAATACACACTTTTTAAAAAAGAACCAAGGCTGCTGAGGATTTACTTTTTTTTTTTTTTATCAATCTGCTTGGAAATAATATCGTATTTATAAGGTACAGAGTTGTTGCAACAAGCATTTGTGAAGAAGAACTAATCAAACCACCATCGATTTTTGTTTGATGCACTTAGTAGAAGTAAACTAAAGGTTTGATTACGTGAGACAACCCTCTTCTTAACCTAAAATGGCTTATTTCAGAATAGCCTACTATTTCTGCCATATCTTTATATGCCAAAGATAAGAGTGGTATGCTATTCTGAGTCATATTTACTTCCTGTTGTGTTCCTGATTAGCAACATTTTCAAGAGACGTGAATCATTCCAGAGGACAAAAATGTACTCAATATTTTTTGATATTTCACATTTTATTATGAGCATAAGTTTACTGAAATTAAAACATCATTTGAATTTATGTTTTGATGTTTATGGACAAAATCAGTGTCCTTTGCTGTAATGAACATGTAAGAGAACAAAAGAATGACCTTGTGTATAGAGGACAGAAGAATTGCATGCCATGTCAGCTGCCCACATACAACCAAATAAAAAATATTGAAAATTCACAAATTGTTTTGTCAGCCAGCTTGCTCCCTCGGTTTATCTAATGTACATGCTTTTTTACATGCAGAAGGAGAATCTCTGCCGTAGACTTTTGGCCATGGGTGTATTATGCAGCCTAATCCAGTGGCTGTGTGTGTGTGTGTGTGTAAGGAAAGGATTAGAGCCAGCTGAATCACTGTGTGTGGGAGTGTAAATATCCTGAAAGAGGAGTGAGTAGTGGCTGCATACAGGACCACAGCCCCTCCCAGCATCTCCCTTTTCACTCCTCTTCCTGCTGCAGACCCCCAAAACATGTCTGTGAGCACATCTCTCAGTGAATCTCCTCATCTGATGCTGAGGAGTAATAAGAGAGATGAGGGGAGAGGTTTGTTTTGGTTGAGTCACTGTAACAATGAAAGTCTGTCAGTCACAAACCCCTTAGAAGGGTATAGTTCCCACCGGATATTCGGACCACACTCAAAGAAAGCATGAACATCTGTGCATGTTCAAAAGTAAGAATTACTGTATTGCTATTGCTTAAACATTCTGCTTTGGG